GGTATGCCACTCGGAGGCATAGTTGCGAACAACGGCCCTTGCTCGCGGGTGCGGTGGTCCGATTGACCAAAAGCTGAGCTCACGTCCATGATGACCATCCTGTAGCGCAAGCTGCTCAACAGTTGGAACGTGAGGTACACCGTCGGAGTCGCCGGTGTCGGGGCATATCGTTCAAGCTCCTGAGCATCCGGATCACGATGTCCAAGCAGGATCCATCTGGCTTTGGCCTTCCAAGACTGGCCCACCTCCTGCTGCTTCTTTGTCAGGATGAATCGAGACGGAACGATCCGATGGGAGAAGGTCTCCTGGATCTTGCGGATCTCGTCGGGATCGGTGACGAACTCAATCGCCGATGATCCCTCCAAATTCTGGATCTCAGTCAGCTTTGCTTCCGCAAACATCCGCTTCTCCATGTCATTCAGTGTCCGTTCTTGAAGCTCCTTCCCGGACTTCTTGGTCAGGCAGATCCATCCAGAGTGCAGCTCGCTGTACGTGTAGAGGACGTCGTTCTTCTGCAGCTTGCCGAACACACTCAGGTCGCGGCTATTGGCGATCATCGGGTACTTCCTCTTGTCGCCCCACGGGGTGACAACATCGGCGATCCACATGCCACCAATCTTGGACTTGGGCTGAGCATGTCCTTGGTGACCAGAACCATCGTGCACCCGCTTCAGACCCTTGTCAAAGAGCCGCTTGTCCTCATCCACGCTGGTCCCTCGCAGGCTGGTGTCGTTGACAGCGGTGCCAGGGTCTGGGTGTCCAGGCCTCGGTCTGTAGTACAGGATGGTCTCCAAGTTCACGGGTCCAGCTGGCAGGGATCGTGACAAGTGTCGTGGTCGCTCATACCCGGTGAACTCTTCATCCTCAATGACCTCGCCGGTGTCGGAGAGTTGATTGTCCGTCTCCGCACCACATCATTCCACATTGGGCCTTGGCTGCTCGAAACTCTGAACCGAGTAGCTTGATGGTCATAACGGGCCCATTGCTTCAGCATTGGGGTGGGTCTCCATTGGCCGCGTTCATCCTCTCGAGCTTGTGGAGGTAATACCTCAGGTGCTCGCGAAGGTCGAGGCTGCTGTTGTGAACCTGGTCCAATTGGCTCAGTCGAAGATGCCTGAGCTCGCAAAGCTGCGGGCGCAGGTGCCGTAGACGAAGAGGCAGGCTCGTGTCCACCTCGAGGTTCCGGAAGTCCTGGTAGTACAGGAGGTCGTTCCCGCGTCTGCCGCGGTGGTTCCGGCGTTCTCGACCTTGTTCTCGTAGTTGTCAAAGGAGGACTCAGCTTCGTTGCCGGCCTGGTTGTCACCACGGGGCCTTCGGTCTGAGCTTGCTCTGGCCGCTTCGGGATCTCATCCGGAGAGTAGCCTTCGGCGTCCGAAGGCAGGTCTGCGTCCTCCCCATCTTCACGAGGTAGTCCGTGTTGCGCAGCAGTTCGCAGCTTAGTAGGTTCGGCTGGGTCTTCTTCTTCGTATCTCTCCTCCTTGTCGGGCTGGTTCTCCTGACTCACGTCGACAAAACCAAGCTTTTCGCTATCAAACCTCAGTCGTTCCTTTGCCATGAGCAGGTCCTTCGGAATGACCTCGATGCCCTGAACCTCAAGAGGTCCCATCTCGAAGACTTGCGAAGCATCACACTTCCACAATTCTCCGCGCCTGGTGACCCAGACCGTGGAGCCACGTTGGAGGATAACGAAACAGGGTCCAACTTTAGCAAGTGCACCCCTGCGACCCTGGCGCCACACAACGACCGGTTGTCCCTCGGTGAACACGCGGGTCTCCAACTTCCTCCGTGGTCTTCCGCGGTTTGCCCGCTGAAGTCGTTCTTTGGCATCGAGCTCCATCAATGCCCTTCTGGCGGCATCTCGAAGTTCCGATGCCCTCGTCCACGCTTTGTCTTGGGTGACAGCTAGCTCGTAGTGCCGGTCGTCGCTGGTGAGGTCCAAGGCTACCCTGGGCTGCCGTCCAAGAACACGCTGGGCCGGAGTAAAGCCTGACCTGTTGATGGTCGTCTGCAATGCCCAGGCTGACTCGAAAATCAGCAGCTCCACCTCGTCCAAGTCTCGAGGCTGTGCTAGCTCACGGCTCTTGTAGTAGACCTTCTTGAACAGATCGCCGCGCCTTTCGCAGACACCATTTTCCCAAGGCGCATCCTGATCACAAACGATCGGCTGGATGCACATTCTCTCAAGGCCGCTCTGGAAATCACCACCAGTAAAACAGGAAGTCGGGTGGCCCAAACGTTCGGGTCCAGAGTCTCTCAAAAGCTTTGAGCGTCAGCTTTGCCGACCGGCGCAGGGGGTCAATCATGCCGAACGTGGAGTACAGCGTCCCAAGACACGTCACATTCAGCACCGGATGCTCCGTCTTGTTGTCCAGGCCGTGGACAAACAAGACGTCAATGCCGATCACCACGTTGAAGTCGTATGTCCGGGGGGTAGCCGCTGGCAACCTCGTCGGTGGTCGTTGTTCCAAATCACAACCGGCACATTTGAACTCTCGCTGCACGTATTGTATGATCTCTGCCCTGCACCCAGCTGCTTTGAGTAGTCGAACAAACTCAGCCCGGCCGGGGTGTCCGAGGTTGACATGTGAACGGAATGGCCCTTTTCTCCTGGGTCGAGATGTCAAAGGTCTCGGCAAAGGTTTGGTGGTCACCTTCCGGTCTGGTCGCCAATTCATACTTGTCCCAGCCATAGAAGATGATGGTGGCCTCGGCATCCACGATGTTCGCATCAAGCTTGCCTACTTGAGCTTTCTCAACCCAACGCCAGGCATCACCGTCTCGGATGGCCGTCCATCGTAGACTCCGCTGTCCAGGTCCAACCTCATGAAGTGGTACTCGAAGCGGGTCGACACAAAGCATTGTCACAAAGCCTTGTTCCTGACCCCACTTGGCCCGAGACCCAGTCTTTCGAAGGGATCGACATTGTTCGTTTAGCCCATCATGTTCCGGAAGCTGTGGTGGTTGCTTGTGCGATGTTTGATAGGCCTCGCGCACTTGTGGTACATATGGTGGTTGGCCCTGGCGGTTGTGATGATCTGCTGGTAGTCC